GGGAAAGAAAGGGAGATATCAATAAGGCAATAGCTGTTATGACTATCCATGAAATCTAATTTCAAGTTAAGAAGAAAAGTGAGGGACTGATTATATCAATTTTGATGAAAAGCCTGGGAGACAAGGGTTTTTCAGAGGGACTGAGATGGTACTTTGGAAATAAGATTTGAAATTGTGATTATAGAAGGATTACTTGTTGGGATAATGACAAAGTCAAAGCCAATGAATTAAGAAAAAGGCAAAAATGATGAAGGGAAACCAGGCTTGGGGGCAGAGACCTGTAATAACAGCTACTTGGGAAGCAGATACAATAGGATAAGAGGCAATGTCTACCACCTGTGTGACAGAGCAAGTTTAAGGCCAGCCTGGGCAACTTATCAAGGTCCTGTCAAAATATTTTAAGAGTGGGTAGAAAGGCTGGAAAGATGGCTCAGCAGTTAAGAGCACTGGCTGCTCTTGCAGAGGACCTGGGCTTGGTTCCCAGAACCTACATGGCAGCTAATCGCCATCCTAACTCCAGTTCCAGGGGAATCTAATGCCCTCTTCTGACCTCCACAGGCACTGCACAACATGAGTGCACTTACATACATGCAGGCAATACACCCATACACATAAAAAAAATAGAAAATATTTTTTAGAGTGGGTAGAGCTGAAGATATAATTCAGTAGCAGAGTGCTTACCTAACACTTCTAAGCCCTATATTCATATCCATTCACACACACACACACACACACACACACACACACACACACACACACACACTGCACTGAGTCCATTTATACACTGTAGAGAGTAAAGAGAAATAATAATAATAAAACAGGACTGGGGAAAGGTCTTTGAGAGTACTTTGAGAGTACTAAAAGCCACCACAAATTATTCTGGAAGTAGAATTGGTGAGATTAATAGGAAATAAAGTGCTAAAATTACCAAAGATTGTAAGAGACTGAAACAAACAGTTGCTACATATACATGTTATTTTAAAAATTGGCCAACACCCACTCATTGGTTAACAACGTCTATAACTCTAGTTCCAACACCTTCTTCTGGCCTCTGCAGGCATTGCACATATGTGGTGCAAAACATGCATGCACATAAAAATAAATAAATTAAATAAATAGATAATAAATAAATAAATAAAAGAAATATTTAAAGCCAGGCATGATGGTACACATCTTTAATCCCAGCACTGAAGAGGGAGAGGTACGCAGATATCTATGAGTTTGAGGCCAGCCTGGTCTTATTTACTTTTATTATTTATATATATTTTTATGAGTATAAGTATTAGGCCTGCATATATGCAAATGCACCATTGTTGTACAATGCCTGTAGAGGACAGAAGAGGGAGTCAGCTTCCCTGAAACTGGAGTTACTGACAGTTGTTAGCTGCCATGTGGGTTCTGGGATTCAAACCTAGGTCTTCTGCAAGAATAGCCAGTGTTCTTAACTTCAGAGCCATCTCTCTAGCCCCAAGATCCTATTTTTTTAAATAGAAGAAGAGAAGATAGGAGCATTTCTAAGAAGAAATATAAAAATGGACAACAAGCCTTTGAAAAGTCATGTTTCATCAGTAATGCAAAATGAAAACACAAAACACATTACACTATACCAGGATGGAAAATATAGGGACTCTGAGAATGAAAAGTGTTTGCAATATGAGTGAAATGAAACATACATGGCTCATAGGAATGGGAAAATTCATTTTGAGGAAAAGGGGGAAAGGAGCTGGGATGTGAGTGGTAGAACACTTTCCTAGAATGTGAAAGACCCTTGGTTTGATTCCTAACACTGCAAATGAGATAAAGGAAGAAGAGGAGGAGAAGGAGGGAGGAGGAGGAGGAGGAGGAGGAGGAGAGGAACTAAAAGAAAGGAAAGACATTGCACATTAATTTGGAAAGCACACAGAGTACAGTGAGCAATTCCTAAGTGTATACAATAAGTATATAAAGTGTCCTTGCTTTAAAGTAATACATATTTGCATTTGATTCCAACATCTAACTAAGACTGGGTTTCGCTTTATCATTCCGAGCCTCCGCTGTTGTGAGGCTTGAAATATACAAACACAACTGGGCTTGGTGATGTATGCCTTTAGTCCCAGCACTCAGGAGGCAGAGGCAGGCAGATCTCTGTGAGTTCAAGGCCAGCCTGCTGTACATAGCAAGTTCCAGGCCAGCTGGAGCTATAAGGAGACCCTGTTACAAAAAGACCAATCATAAATAAATAAATAAATATAAATAAATAAATAAAATGTAAACACTCGGTTGGGGGTGGAGATGGAGCTCAGCTAGTAGAGTGCTCTCCTAGCATGCATGAAGCCCTGAGTTCAACCCCCAACACTATATGATCTGAAGGTAGTGCAAGCCTGTAAAGCACTCTAAGGGTCATCCTCCTCTATATAGAAAATTGAAGAGAGTCTAGACTGGGTTACATGAGACCTAATTTTAAGAAACAAATGGGGGCTGAAGAGATGGCTCAGTGGTTAAGAGCACTAGATTCTCTTGCAAAAGACCTGGGTTCAGTTCTCAGCCCCCACATGGCAGCTAACAAGCATCCATCACTCCAGTTCCAGGGGATCTAATGCCCTCTTCAACCCTCTATAGGCATTGTATGACATGGCGCACTTACATACATGCAGGCAAAAGACTCATAAATATAAAATAAAAATAAGCTCGACCTGGTGTGCGCCTTTAATCCCAGCACTCTGGAGGCAGAGACAGGTGAATCTCTGTGAGTTAAAACTCAGTCTGGTCTACATAGGGAGTTTCAGGAAAAAAGACCCCCAAAAACTAATTAAATAAATAAACAACAGTAAAATGATGTACATATGTATATGCAATTAAAATTTTTAAATTCAATTTTTTCTCCTTTTGAGACAGAGTTTTCCTGTAGCCCCAGCTGGTCTGGAACTTGCTGCATAGATCTGGCTGGCCTCAATCTCACAAAGATCCACCTGCTTCTGCTTCTTAAGTGCTAGGATTAAAAGCATGCACCACCACATCCAGAAGATAATTTCAGTTTTTAATACAACTATTAAGAGTTTACTTTTTAAATTTTGTTTTACTTTATTTTATGTGTGTGCATGTATTGTCTGCATGTAGTTAAGTGCACCCGTGTCATGCAATGCCTTCGGCAGAAACAAGAGGCTGTTGGATTCCCTGGAACTGGAGTTATGAACAGTTGTTAGCTCCATGTGGGTATGGAGATTCAAACCCAGGTCTTCTGCAAGAATGGCCAGTGTTCTTAACCACTTAGCCATCTCTCTAGCCCTGAGAGTTTACTTTTTTTAAACTTTATTATTTTTATTTTATGTGTGTGCATGTATTGTATGCATGTAGGTAAGTGCACCTGTCATGCAATGCCCACAGAGGTCAGAAGAGGCTGTCAGATCCCCTGGGACTGGAGTTACGGACAGTTGTTAGATGCCATGTGGGTGCTGGGATTCAAACCCAGGTCTTTAAGACAGGTTTTCATATGGATCAAAGTGACCTCTAATTCTCCATATAATCAGAGCTGACCAAGAAGAACTCCTGATCCTCCTACCCCTACCTGCCAAGTGCTGGGATTACAGATATGCACTACCATACCCAGACAATCATTAACAACTTTATTATAGTGCAGCCCTTAATCTTCAGAAAACCTCTAAACATATGTTTCACTTTAGTATTTTAAAAGCATTTTTCACAAAGCTCAGGAAAGAAATCTGCATTCTTCACTTAGTTTGGGGATGGAAGGGAGGATGTCGGTCAGTTGGTAAAGTTATCACCTGAGCAGAAAGCTCAGGTTTGATTCAGCTCCAAGCACCCTGGTTGTGGTGGTACATGACTATGATCCCAGGACTCAGGGGTTGGAGGCAGGTTGATCAAAAGTTCAAGGTCTTTCTCAGCTACATGAGGAGTCGGGGCAGCAATGGATATAGGAGACTGTCTCCGAATTTTAAGAAATATTTTATTCTTTTTATTTTTTATGTGGATAAGTGTATTGCCTGCATGCATGTAAGTGCAATCATGTCATGCAATGTCCGTGGAGGTCAGAAGAGGGCATCAGATCCCCAGAACTGGAGAGGGCTGTTAGCTGCCATATGGGTCCTCTACAAGAGTAATCAGGCTCTTAACCACTGGGCCATCTCTCTAGCCCCGGAATTTTTAACTGTTCTTTTTGTCTTTTTAATTTTTACTACATTTATTTATTGTGTGTGCACTGCACGAATGCCACTCATGAGGACATGGTGGGGGGGGGGTCAGAGGGCACCCTTTAACCACTATGTAGGACCATGGGGTCCAACTCAAGTTATCAGGCTTGACAACAGTGTCCTAACCTACTGAACCATCTCGCAGGCCGACATGGTTTTTGTTTTGTTTTTGAGACCACGTGTGACTCGGCAGCTCAACTTGGACTCAAACACATGATTCTCCTGCCTCAGTCTCCCTAATGTGGGGTTTATAAACTGTACCACAAGGATACGGCATGGTCTTAGGCTGGAGTACTTCAAGTTCCACGTCAGCCCGGGCTACCTAGAAACACTTTCTGAAAAAAACAAAGAGAAAAAAGAATAAAAAATTAGATAAACCCTACAGCAATTTCAGGTGGTATTTAACTGAGTCCGGTTTTGGAGTGGGGCAAGTAACAAGTTTTTCAGTGGTCTTTAGAATCCCTGAAACCACAGGAGTTCTAGGCATCAGCCATCTTGAAATTCTATTCTAGAAATATCCTTTTCTAGTATAAGCTATGCAAGTTATTCTGCCCCCTATAGGCCAAAAAGGTATTTCCCAACTACAGCCAAGGCTATTGGTCAGAATGACACACCTGGGCGGAGCCTCAGGAAGGAAGCCTGGAGGGGGCAGGGCCTAGTGTGATACTTCCCGACGCCGCTTGGGTTCCGGTTTACCTCCAGAAACTTGATTGACGTCCAGTGCGCATCCGTCCTCCTCTGAGAAAGATCCAGGTTCGCCTGCCCACAAGGGGGAGGCCTGCGACCCAGAGCCCAGGACCCCGGTGCCCACCCATGTGGCACCTGCCAGCACCCGGCACATCAAGCCTCGCCAGCCCCGCGCCTCGCCAGCACCGCAGCGCCGTCCACATGCTGGGCGTCCGGCCCCGCAGCCCCAGCGCTGAACCCGCGCCCTCCTGGACACCGCAGCCCGAAGCACCGGGTCCTGCCAAGCGCCGCCGCCTCCACCAGCCCGCAGGCCCCGAAGCCCTGCCAACGCCCGGCCTGGAAGCCCCCGCGGGGCCCACCAGCGCCGCGCTCCCCTCCACCTCCGTGGTGCTCCTGGCCTCCGGCTGCGCCCTGCAGCTGACCCTGGACGGCGTCGACCTGCTGCTGCAGCCCGAGCCCACCTCGCTCCTGCAAGTGTCGCTGCAAGGACACACCGTCATCCTGGTCCCCGAGGGCCTCCTGAGCTGCGCCCACCCAAGCCCTGGACGGCTGGAACACGCGCCCGCCGGCCTGCAGGTGACAGCTCCCCTGGACACGCCCCAGGACCACCTCGTCGTCATGGAGGAGGAATCCTGGGAGTCGGTCCCAGACATCGCCTGCCAAGAGGACGCCAGTGATTGGGACGCGGACCCAGGCATCCTGATGCCCCGGGACCACCTCGTCGTCATGGAGGAGGAATCCTGGGAGTCGGTCCCAGACATCGCCTGCCAAGAGGACGTCTATGACCAGGACGCAGACCCAGGCATCCTGGCACCTTGGATGGATACTCCAGCTGGCCCTGCCGAGGGCTTCCCTCCTTCCACAGGGGCGTCCATGCGCTGGCCTCAGGACCGAGTCCCAGAGCCCTGGTCTCCGGTGTCCTCCTCAAGTGCGGAGAGTCTCGATCCACCGTCCATCTGGGACCTGGACAGCTGCACGCTCTCAGAGTAAGGTCCGGAGGCGACTGTTCCATGAATAAACTGCCCCCCACCACCACCACAATTCCTTGATACCCCACAAGGTGAGGGAGTTTTCCACCATTTGATGCAAGGTTCTTAGCTGGCCCGTTTGGGGACTGTGTACTACTCTCATGGATACAAGACACGTTCTGGGATCCCTAATGGATTCCCAGAGCTCTTTGTGGTGAATACCTAATATCCTATGTGTTTCCCTGTTTCTTCTCTAACCAAGATATTAATAGATTTCATAAGATGTTGATGTCCGGTTCACGTTTTGCTATGAGTTTATGACTACTCCACCACGACTTGCCTCCTCCTTGGTGTCTCAGTCAGCTCTCCTGGGAAACTAGCAAATACTGTGATGGAGTATGATGGGTACTTAACTTGGGTGTACAATGTTTGTTCATAGCAATCTCTTAACCTATTGAAGTAATCTTCCAGTTTCAGTCTCTTCATTATAACTAAGGTTCATGGTGAATTTTATCAGCTGTTTCCAATGTATTAGATATGTATTTCTTTTTGCAGTATGTTCACATCATGATTTTTCACCAACAGGCTAATGGAAAATGTTTGAATTATTGTTATTCCACTTTATTTTCTGTTTTACATTCTGCTCCAAGTTTTTTTTCCTTATGAACCAAATTTGTATTGCTTGATGTTATTACCATATTTGCCTTATTTTATAAGAAAATAAAATATTTCTAGTAAAGCTGAAGTCTACAAGATTATTTCACAAAATAGTGACTATTCAGAGTTACCACTATCCCTTACCCTTTGTCCTTTAGGCTAACCTCAATGTTTTTCTTGCTAAAGAATATATTGTGTTTTTAATTTGGGAGGCATTAATGGAGATTTAACCTAGGACCTCACACATGCTAGCTAAGCTATGTCCCAGCCTTCTTATATATTTTGAAACAAGGTCTCACTGAGTTTCCCAGGCTAGGCTTGAATTCACTCTGTGGCCAGGCAGACTTTCAACTTGTAGTCCTCTACATCCTCCTCCCAAGGAACTGAGATTATAGGCCTGAACCACCAGACCCAGCAATTAAAAACATTTTTGTTTGTTATTATTTATTATTAGTGTATATTTGTGTGTGTGTGATGGGGGATGGTGAGGGCGTATGTGTGCCATGGAGTGTCTATGCCATGGTGTGTCTGTGGATGTCAGAGGACAACTTGGGAGTCAGTTTTTTCCTTCCACCATGAGTTCTGCAGATTAAACTCAGATCATTATGCTTGTACAGCAAGCACTTTTATCTGCTGAGCCACCTTGTCCACTCCAAAAATAGGCTTTAGTAGTTATTTCTACGTCATCCATCCTATGAAGAGTTAGCTAACTTGGTTCTGTATACCTGAACATGTATGTTTTGTAATAAATTCTCAATATTTTATGTTTAAAAATGTTTGGATGACATAGTCTTTATTTTTTCAGGATTCAAGATGGGTTTATTTTAAGCTGAGAGAGAAATAGCTGAATGAATGAGCCACTGGGTAACAAGCCACTGTATGATTTTTTTTCAAAAAAGTTTATTCTAAGATGTACTCCAGAACAATGCTGCGTTCTAGATATTGGCAGCAAAAGATGCTATGGCAGAAAATTAAGATGTTTAAGTAGAAAAGGAAGGAATCGAGAATCATCAGCATCTCAGATACAAAAAATGCCATTTTTTTAATCAGTTTTCTTAATTCCACCTGTGGCCAGGGAAGCCTTCCCTGCAGGCTCACTTTTAGCTCCTGGAGTTTTCTCCTCTATTTGGTTGGTTGGTTGGTTGGTTCCTGTTTGGCTCTCTGAACCCCCTCATGAACCTCTTAGCATGCTTCTTGGACTGCTGGAGGCTTCTGGCCAACTTTGTGGAGGACATGGTGCCTTCCACCTCCCCAGAACTTGATTCTCCATATAGTCACTCTTAATTCTAACATAGCACTTAACTACTTGAAATATATTAATCCGGTGTTTTGCCATTATTTTTGTTGAATAAAGTTTGTCAATCAAAATGCTATTCTTTCGTATGTGATTTGTTTGTGCCTTTTAGTTTTGGAGGGTGGAAGTGTTTGTTGTTGGTTTTGTGACAAGCTATGTCTGGGTAGACCAGGCTCACCTTAAACTCCTGATTCTCTTGCCTTAACCTCCCAAATTCCAGGGTTGCAGGTGTTTTCTACTACATCTGGTTTCATTTTAATATATTTAAAATATTTATTTGCCTTTTACATTACATTGTTTGACTGTAATATGTCTGCAAAGATAGTCTGTTTCTATTTGGCTTCATGGGACATAGTAAATTCTCAGTACTGGAAATTATCTCTTGCCTGACTGAAATCCCACAAAAAAGGCTCTGTTTCAGAGTATTTCCTATAGCCTCATGCTGAAAATCCAAACAAATATATGATGGCATTGCTCAATCTATCTATTATGACTTGTATTAGTTACTTTTCTGTTTCTATGATAAAATACCAAAACCGAAAGCAACTTAAGGAATAAAGAGGGGTTTTTTTAGCTTATGATTCCAAAGAGATAGCATCCATAATGGCAGGGAAGGCAGGGCACGGCTAGGAGCAGGAAGCTGGGGGATCATATTTTCATCCACACATGGAAAGCAAAGCTAAAGAAAGCAGGAAGCAGGGCAAGGCACTGACTTCTCGAAGCCCACCCCAAGTGATGTACTTCTTCAAGAATTCACCTCCTAAAGGTTCTATAACTTCACAAAAGTGCCACCAACTTTCTAAATATATCCAAATATATGATCCTATGGGGGACAGTTCTCATTCAAACCATCACATTCATAATATCTTAACAGCTTAATTATAAGATGTAGTTATAATGTCTTTTTTCGTGTGTATGAGTGACTGAAGAGATGGTTCAGAATTTAAGAGCACTGGCTGCTCTTGTAGAGGACCAGGTATGGTTCCTAGCACCCACATGGCAGCTAACAACCATCAGTAACTCCAGTTACTCTTTTGGCCTCTTCAGGCATTGCACACACATGGTGCACCTACATACATGCAGATAAAACACTCATACACATAAAATACAAATAAATAAATTTTAAAAACTTAATTTCCCCCTAAAGTCATAGGCTTGTTTCATGAATACTACTCTATTACATTTCAAATTTTTGTAAATTCAATTAGCAGATTTAGCTCAACTAATTTATGAATAAAAATCTTTTTTAATCATACTGGATTGCCTCATACATTCAGCAGTTTTCTTTGGTGGGGACAGTGCAAATAAGAATTAATCTTTTGCATCCTGCATTTTTAATTCTTACATTTTTTTGCTGCTGCTTCTCTAAGGACCATGACTTACTTCCCTCTGGAAAGCTTATAATCTGTCTCTCTAGAAAACACAGAGATCTAATACTTAGGCAATTACACAGTTGCTCATTCACAATTTGTATCTGTCTTCGTGGTCTCTTCAACCTCTTGACCATTGGCAGTGGTCAGGGTAGATATTCAGCTCCCCATAGTAATGGAAATTCTAATTGCCACAACATCTTTTATTATCAATATGAATACATTAAAATGTCAGCTGACTAGGCAACAATTGTATTTACTTGATTTCTATGTATTTCCCTGGGAGTGGGGCGCCTTTCTTTTAAAAATATATGTTGGGGCTGGAGAGATGGCTCAGCATTTAAGAGCACTGGCTGCTCTTGAGAGGACCAGAGTTTGGTTCACAGCACCCACATGCTATCATCTGGAACTTCAGTTCCAAGGCATCCATGCCCTCTTCTGGCACCTATCTATGGGCACTGCATGACACAAATGAGCTTACATACATGCAGGCAAAACATTCATACACATAAAATAAATTAGTTTTTGAGAAATAAAAATAGATGTTGGGGAGAAACCCTATCGATAGTATTAACCAGTGAGGAGCCCTGAATGCTACAATACTGACAGGCAAGATGCACCAACTGGTGCAATAGTGGCACAAAGGTTATGGGGGTAATTGTTTTTGGATTGGATTTGAGACCTGCTCCAGGAGGGAATCAGTGCCCTGAACTATAATCCTGGTTAAAAGTCCATGATTCAGAGGTAAAAGGCCTCAGAGAGAACCTACTATTACTGTCTTGCTAAATGGATATTTTGTCAAACTGCCCTCTAAATATTTATGTTTACACACATAGATTAGTGTTGGCCTGAACCTTAGCCAGAGAAGCCTTTTCTGCAGTGGCCAGTACTTAATGCAGATACTCACAACTATCAGAGTGCTGAGAATAAGTGACTATTGAGTGCTCATCCCTAAATGGGACATCTATACCAAGCTCCCGTCATCCAGCACCCAGGGTACTTAGCAGAAGAGGGGGCAGAAAGAGTGTAAGAGATGAAGGATGGGGAAGAACGCAGTGAAATGCTGTCTTCTGGACATGGAATGACTACTGAATTCATGACCTCACTACACCTATTGTTACCTGCACAAGACCTGCACAAGACTGAGTTAACAAGATTAGTCAACATTCCAACAGTCAGCATTAATTTGACTTAGTGGGTTACACAACAAAAAAGAGAAATAAGACATGAAAGGGGAAGTCGGGGTATGCTGGAGGTTCCAAGGCTGGTGGGATGGAAGAGTTGGAGTGGATATGACCAAGATACATTGTTCACATAGAGATAATCGTCAACACATAAAAGATGCTCTATTAAAATAAATAAGCAGGGGGCTGGAGAAATAGCTCAGCAGCTAAGAGGACTGGCTGCTCCTGCAGAAGACCTAGGTTCAGTTCCCAGCACCCACATGGTGGCTAACAACTATCTGTTACTCCAATTCCAGGGGATCTGATGCCCTCTTCTGTCCTCTGTGGGCACTGCATGATATGGGTGCACTTACACACATGCAGGCCGTACACTCATACACATAAAATAAAAATAAATAAGAAAATAGATTTTGATATATAATATGCTGTGAGGTTTTTAGCTCATAATTTTAGAGACTGAAGAATATAGAACAAGCAACTCTTCATCCCTAGAGAGGGCATTCTGGCTACATGGAAA